AGTCTCTAATCTTCAGTTTGATAAACTCTAATCTTCAGTTTGTTAAACTCTCTAATCTTCAGTTTGTTAAAATCTCTAATCTTCAATTTGTTAAACTCTCTAATTTTCAGTTTGATCAACTCTAATCTGCAGTTTGTTAAACTCTCTAATCTTCAATTTGTTAAACTCTCTAATCTTCAATTTGTTAAACTCTTCAATTTGTTAAACTCTCTTGATCTTCAGTTTGTTACTCTCTAATCTTCATTTTGATAAACTCTCTAATCTTCAGTTTGTTAAACTCTCTAATCTTCATGAATCTTCTGATGAAGCCTTCCGGATCGAAGGCGAAACGTTTCAGCACATCAAAAAAGAAACTGTCCAGATGACCTGACTGAAAAATGTTGGATTGCATACCTGGATTATTGAGCATGGACTTTGTTCTCTAATCTTCAGTTTGTTAAAAAGCTTCTTCAGGCAGTCGTGACGACAGCTGCAGCGAGCGTGAGAACTGCTCACCAGAAACTGATCTGTGGTCAGATCTGCTGCTTCACGCCGTTTATCTTTCCAGGAAGCAGCTGTCAGACGAACAGCTGAAGGCCTCCGCTTTACACGGACCTTCGGCTGTTTTTATTAAACGAGGGGCTGATCTGAAAGCAGCAGGATGTGATGAAACAGCTGAATCCATAAAGTCTGAATAAAAATATTAAAAACTAAGACGGAGTGCCAACAATGTGTCAGCGCTCAGTCTGTGTTAGTGACGACTCTCGGCTACTACCACACCAAACTTTAGCTCCATGTCTAAACATTTCTATGCTGGCTGAGGTCAGTTAGCTGAGGCGGCCATCTTAAATCAGGTGGACTTCAAAGGTCAGTTGTAAAGTTCATCTGTGGGTTCAGGAAATATTTTACTAACAGAAGAACAAACAAAACACAACATTTGTTTTTATTTACGAGATTAAAATCTCATAAAAATCACTTTAATAAACTCATAAAACTATTTGAAGTCTTTGATGTGGTGATTTAAAGTTCTGCTTGAGAAATAATCACTATGATCAGAGCAACACAAACAAACAGAGACAAACAAGACGTCTCATTTAGAAGGACAAAATGTCTTCCTGGTCCAGCTCCTGTCTCTCAGTTTGAGTCCAACACAGAGACAGAGACAGAACAGTGAGGTTCTAAACAGGAACATCTCATTCACCTTCAGTCATCGGAGCAACATTGTCCTCTGTCCGATCTGTTACACTCAGTGAAAGGTTCTGGTGGAGGTTCTGATCACCTGCAGCTCTGACCCACTTGTTGGGTTTTAAAGTTCTGTCTCACATGAGCTCAGAATCATACAGGTTGGTTTCTGACCCATAAACTGGAGAACCTGGTTCTGTCCTGTTCTGATGGTTCTGGAGGTTCTGGAACCACAGGTTCTGGAGCTACAGATTCTGACGTTCTGGAGCTACAGGTTCTGATGGTTCTAGAGCTACAGGTTCTGGCGCCACAGGTTCTGGTGGTTCTGGCGCCACAGGTTCTGGTGGTTCTGGAGCCACAGGTTCTGGTGGTTCTGGAGCTACAGGTTCTGGTGGGTTCTCGTGTGGATGGACCAGCTGCTGTGATGCCTGAAGGCTTTTCCACACCGTGCACAAGAGTAGGGTTTCTCTCCGGTGTGGGTCCTCAGGTGGACGGTCAGGTTGCTGCGATGAGTGAAACTTCTTCCACACGTCTCGCAGGAAATCGGCTTCAGGCCCGCGTGGCTTCTCACACCAACAGCACCCGTTCCAGCAGAACCCGGTCCAGCAGAACCCCGGGCCTCGCCTGCGTGCGTCCTCATGTGGATGATCCGATTATCGTTCCGGCTGAACCCCTTGCTGCAGATCGGGCAGGAGAAGGGCTTCTCACCTGTGTGGGTCCTCAGGTGGACGGACAGAGTGCTGCTCTGCCTGAAGCTCCGCCCACACACTTTGCATATGTACGGTTTCTCCCCCGTGTGCGTCCTGACGTGCACGGCCAAGACACCGCTGTGAAGGAAACCTCGGCCACACACTTTACAGATGTAGGGTTTCTCTCCAGTGTGGGTTCTCGTGTGGATGGTCAAGTCCCTGCTGACTCTGAAGGTCTTGCTGCAGACTGGACAGGGGTGTGGTTTCTCTCCGGTGTGGGTTCTGGTGTGGACCTTCATCTTGTATTTGTTCCTGAACGCCCGCCCACAAACTTCACATACCACACACGCCGTAGCACACTCGCTTCTGGACTCTCCGGTGGACCCAGAAGGACTTCTGTTGCCGTGACGTCTCGTCTTCGGGTTCAGCTCAGAGCTTCCAGCTGGTTCTGACTCCACAGGTTCGCTTCTCTTCTGATCCGGACTCTCAGCTACAGGAGAGACGTGAGAGAGGAGCTGGTGACCGTTTGGTTCTGGTTCACCGAGGTCACATTCCTCACACTTGTCCATGAAGGTACCAGTCGGCTGCTTCAGAACCACCTGCTCCTCTTTAACCTGTGGAAGTTCTGGTTCCTGCCGGTCAGCTGAAGCTTCGTCTTCCAGCTTGACTTCTGAAAAGACAAAAAGAAATAAAACTTTTCCCACATCTGGTATTTATGGTTGTTCTCCAACAAACGGAGCAGTCGTCATATTTACTGAGCAGTACCGAATTCTGATGGACTCAAGAGTTCGTTTTATTTTTATTGGAGATACTTCTTCTCCATTTGACACATCCAGAATGATCTGGACTCTGTCTCGTTCAATGGGAGAACATCTGTCCTTCTCATGAACGACAAAATTTGTCCCCAGTCCGTCAGAACATTCAGAGCATCCAGCTCAGACTAAACCCTGGACAGTCGACTTCACTCAGAGACACAGAGC